GCCCAGACCTGTATTATTGGTTTTTATATCTGTAACAATAGCCATAAATAAATAAAACTGTAGACGTACATCCTTTGCAGAATGCGAAATGGTCCAGGGGGGGGGGGCAAAAATTACCGTAACAAACAAACAGTCATGGAAAACCAATGCGACCAGGAAAACACAAGCAATAATAATATATTTATGAGAAGTACCAAATAGAATACAACATCGTTTCGCATTGCGGCCGATTATGACGTTGGTATATGAGCAGCGTCATGACGGGAACGCATCGTGCGTTTAGTGCAGATAGATGGCGTTGATCTTTTACTGGGCTTATCCTCAATTCTCGATGCTTCAATGTTATCAAAAGCAGGCCATCGCCTCAACAGAGGCCACGCACAATAATGCGGTGAAGGCTACGTATCCTGCTGGAATGTCCAGTGGTTTCTGTAAATATCTTTCTACCTCAAGCATCAATCAAGCGAAGGAATTTGAGATGGCCGTGATTTTTGTCCACCACCATAAGGACTGTGGTCTTTATGGTGGTGGACAAAAATCTTCGCCATCTCAAAAAATAGTTCTCTCTCTTTGTTGCTGCTCGCCTTACAGAGACAGACTTCACTGGCCACGCTTCTGAATGATCAATGATATTGGAAGACACTTTATTTTGAGGTGCAGGGGTTTAAACACTAAACTGTAAGTATTCCTCCGCCATCCACGCACATCGTCTTTCCAACCAGCAAGACAAAGAGAGGTCTTGAAATCTTGACAGGCTCACAGTCTTGTGCAGCCTCTGCTCCCATGCTTACCTCGTCTCTGCGTTTACGATGACGACGTATCTCGATTAAAGGAAAGCCACTGAAAATCGCAATGTTGGGCGTTTGCCAATCGTGCTGACACACGTTCTCGCAGCGCTCATTCTTCCAATTCCGGTCCAGGTTGCGCACATTTGCGCCTAACCGGTCTCAGAACTCAATGAATATAATCATTGATGAAGGAGTTCCTGATGTTCGAAATCCTCAATTGCATGATTCGACCTAAGCATCAGTGTCCAGGGTCGAACCTGCAGGAGTTCATAACTTTTCGGGCAGTAGGTCATTTTGAATTCCAATCTTTGCCATTTTGAGTTTTGACTTTACAGCAACTCCTGACCCCAATGCTGATGTAACCCCGCTTTTCTACACTTCTTCAGCGATTTTCTAGCAAAGTCTTCAACACATCGTCCATTCAGGAAGGCCTTGGTCTACAGAGTTTTAGGAAGGCCGCTGTCGGAAACTACAATGGGAGAAAGGCCATCGCGGCTCCCGCATTGTTGCCAGCTTAGCTTATGAGCTGTGCAAATGTAAGCCGACCACCCAGCACGGATTTATGCGATACGATAAACTTCGATTCAGGCATTTGACGCTGCTTGGTTGGTAACTCTCCCACGTTTCTGTAAGAAAGCAAAAGCGTGAATGTGTAACGAACTGGAAATAAAGTGTAAGAACAGTGGAAGTAGAACTTTCGATGAAGGAGTTTCATGACAATAGAAGACTCTTTACCTGTTCAGTTACCTAAGCTAGTAAGGAGGAGACGAAAAGAATTAAGTTCATTTCGAAGGCTTTGTAAATGCTGCGTTAAGAAACCCCCAAAGGTTCTGACTTCATTATTGCGGCCAGTTTTGTCATTGTTGGCTTCCTTTCTAACATGGGAACTTGTGTAATGTCGGTGAAACAATTCGCTAGCGAATCGCTCGATTCGCAGACTATGACATCGGCCCTTGGCGGTTCCTCATCCGCACAGAAGCTGTCACGATCGTCAGTGGTAGCAGGTAATTATCTCAAGCTATAACACACCCCTTCGCTTACATACGGTAACAACCATTGCAGATGTCACAGTACTAGCAGATGTCTACACAAAAAGTAGCACCAGATGCTAGAGTAAGACATAGTTTCACATATCACATGCTAAAGGAGAATTCAAGTATTGTTTGTGAAATAAGAAAGTCTTGCAAGGGGTTTTTCAGAGCAAGAAAAACGGTTTTGTGCATATTGTAGGGACGCATGTAGGGAACGCAAAACCATGTTTCATTTTCGCTGAACGGTTATAGCAGTACCAAAAAAGAAGCATAAGGTACTGTTAAGGGTTCGATCCCCCGTGGCGACTAAATTTTGCATTTGGGTTGGCGCCTACGGTTTGGTGCCAAATCGCGCTAAATATCAAAATCAGATGTCAAATTCATCGTCAGGACCATTTTGAAGCCAACAAGTGGCCGCCAACCTTGATTGCAAAATTTAGTCGCCGCGGGGGATTGAACCATCAAGGTATTATTCACCACTTTTTTACTACTAAAACCGTTCAGCGAAAACGAAACATGGTTTTGTGGTCCATACATGCGTCCCTACAACATGTACTAAACCGTTTCCAAAAAGCGCACCTTGCCCTGAAAGACCTCCCTTGTTAGTCTATAACGACAGCAAGCTTTTTTGGATCACCAGCCAATTAACCCTTTGACGACCGCCGTTATGAATGCGTCACTTCACTTCTTTCTAAATTTTTTCATCAATAATCATTAACTCTCCAACAATTTCACTATTAGTAATTAGCGCATTATTCCGCGAATTCGATAATGTATTTGTGTAGTTTTGAAACATAAAAAATGCCAAAATAAACCCCTAAAAACGTGTCGCCACCGAGCGAAAGTGTGGCCCACCGGCGGGCCACACGGTCGTCAAAGGGTTGAAGAGACTCTTCGAATCAATAAAAAATAGGAATATTTCCTGAAAGAATTAGCATTTGTCAGGGAGACAAGG